ATGCTGTTTATTTCTGAGCTCTGCCTTCCCAGTGAATGTCTGGGATCCACTGTTGTTACGTGCTTGATATAGCACAGGAAGTAGGACACTAGGATTGAAAGAAGAAGAATTTGAGGGGAAAAAGATGGGAAAGGATGGGAACAAAGAGGTGTATAAGCTGTCTAGAAACTTAACAAAAGTTTTCTTATACGGGCACTGAATATATACACATCATAGGATAATGATCCAAATAACAAAACTGTTTAAAATTCCTAACCATACTTTACTTCCTTAATCTACTCACTGTTGGTGCACATTTAGGATAGAATAGTGAAGGACTTTATAGAGTTGAACAAGACTAAATAGTACAAAGTCATTGTGTTCGTTATCTATAGATTTAGACAATACGAATACATATTTTATTTTTGATGGTTGATAAAAGTTGATATCATTTTCAATTATAGAACTGATTTAGAATAATTTTTTTTTTTAAAAAATGAATATTGATAAGTTAAAATAAAATAAAATGTTTTCAATTATTACCATTTAAGAAATGATTTGAAATAAATTTAAAGAAAATAAGTTGATGAATTAACTATTAATAGTTATTTAAAATCAGTTATTATAATTTCTTAAAATATAAATTAATATTCAATAAACGATAAGACATCACAGAAAAATTAGTTAAAGTTAAATATTTAGAAGAAAATAATATTAAAAATTTAAGGACAGAATTTTATTTATTGACAATAGGCATTAATTATCTGATGGGCAGAAGAATTTTTTTCAACCATTATTGGAATCTTGCTTCATGGCTGAATCTGACAGAAAGAAAGAGAAAAACTTGCGTAATCCTGGTGTTTGAAAGTGGAGCAAAAAAAAGTATTTTGAAAATTTTCAAATTTTAGTGTTTTTGGTGGGGCAAATTAGTTGAATTGTTTTGAAGGAACACATTTGTTCCTTGGTTTGGTAATATTTATCTTTTTTTATAGCGCCAACACAAAGCATGTAAAGTACTATGATACATATTTAGTTTAGAATTACTTTGTAATGATAAATTATTCCAATTCAGTTTTTTTTTGTTCGCCGTCAGTACTGCATTCAATAGTTTTGTTAATTGTCGTAATTCTCTTCCAGGGATGAGTCACTTCTGTGTCAAGGTCTGGCCTTAAATGATGACTTACAGCGCTTACTCGCGAAGCACGAAACCATTGCTTCTGGAACTTCTGCTCCAACAGAAAAACCCAAGCCTGAATCTGTTGGAGCTCTCGTAGACGTTGGTGGTCCTCTTGTTGATACTGGAGATGGTAGTCAACAGCCTGATAAGAGGTAAAAAGTTCATCCTCATTGATGTCAAATACAGTGTTTGTAATAACTTCTGTTCGCATGGTTAATTATCAGATTCAACTCAATAAATCCACCTTTTAGTGCATATTTACTGTAGGTTAATACTTTCTAAGAAATCTTCAATGACATTGAGGAGCCATGGTGGAAACCTTGGTGCTTTAGGAACCTGTATAATTGCATAAAAACTAGTAGGCAAAGCAGGAGGATCAGAGCTGTGAAAAACAAATCTTCAATGTTGAAAATTCAAGTAATATTCATACTCTCAGAAAAATGAAGCATTCCTTGTCATAGGTAGGATATTGTTGCTTAGCCTCTCATGGTTTTCACTAGATAATACAGTAGGGTGTTCCTTCTTGACATTCCTCCTATTTCAACTCCTGAGTCATCACTTGGAACCTCAAATGACATTTAGAATCTAGATGCCCTAAAGAGGAGCTTTAGGCATCTTCCTGATGTAGAAAATACCTTAGTAGCTAAATGGGACTACTTAAATTCATATAACTTTAAACTATTAGTTTTGGGAGTCACGATATAACAAAAGCCCCTTATTAATCTTCTTTAAGAAGTAGCTTTGTCAAGGAAGTTGCAATTTTTTTTTGAAATATAAGGAAGTTGCAAATATCTGTTAAGACTTCTTCATTTAGGCCATAGTCTAATCAGGATCTTGCACTTACAGGTGATTCATAATGCATTCCAACTTGATTGTTGCTGACCACAATCATTGCACTCCTATTTTGTATGGTTAATTTGCACTTCATCTTTACATCTGAAAAAACAAGGGAACAGTACCTATTCACTAATCATTAGTAAGGTCCTTTAATTGTTAATCTGGACCTTTAGGACATTGAATAGTTTCTTCTAATTAAATACTCTCTTTTCACGAGTGATGCTTGAGTAGGACAATGAAGAACCACGTGAGCCTTCTAATTATAGCTAATATAATTATCTGATTGATTTTCACTAGGTGGGTTTGTAGGTAGGAGCTGAGGGGACTGAAGCACTAGTCATTCTTGGTGACATCATCATAAGGAGCTAGGGGTGAAGATATGGACATATACACTCTCTCCTCATGCTAGGTTCTTCAATAATCTCAAACATATGCACTAATTAGGTTTGATTCCCAATTTGAACTATTGGCTTTCCGTGTAGGAGCACCTTTGTTAAGAGTTTAGAGAGGTTATAATTGTGGAATACAAAAATCATTGAGTTTGGGATTTGATTCAAGGTCTCTATTCTTCATGGTGTTTCATCTTTGTTCCTCTCCTTTTCTTCTCTTTGATCTCCTTAAGTCTTTCTATCTGCTGTCTGTTTTCAGCACTTTTATTCCAATCCTATATATTCTCCATTTTTCTTTCTACCTATTTCAAATGTTGCCAGAGCAAGTTGTAGTGTATAGATTGATGTCAGGGCCTTCAATTAATCAAGCAGCTACTTTGATTATTCTGTCAGATTCCATTAGCAAAAAAAAAAAATTCTTTAAATCATATGATGTAAAGCAAAGATGTTAAGTCGATCTCTTGGTTACAATCTATCATGGGGTATCTGATTATAGGGGTGTAGCATTAGGTTTTGGTCCCCATGGATTTCTGGAGAAATTGAAGTACTTAAGTATTGGATTGATCTTCAACCTCTTCTCCAATGTCATCAAGACAATATTTGGGCTAAAGATTTTTACATGGGGTAGCTTCATCTAATATTCTTGTTGCCTGTTGCAAGTTGAGTTTCTTTTTCTTTTCCGAGAAAAAACTTGGAAATCGAGTAAAATGATTGAAGTTTTATCTAAAATTATTGGAAGACATACTGAATTATCAGCTTGAGCTTTACATTTGTTACCTCTGAATGGATGGATCTCTTCTTAACCTTGATTTAGGTTCTGAATCCATATTTTCATCAGAATGAAAGTTGCTTAAAAGTAAATTATTGATGTTGAAATTTGTAGAATTATCAAATGCAGAAATTAAAATTCTTGGTCAGATAGTTTCTGTTTATTAGATGTGTAATTATGAAGATTATTTCTGCAGATCTATCTCAAATGGTGCAGGGGTTCAGCCGTTAAATCAACCATTACTTCCGGCACCTCCTGCAACTAATAGCGCAGCTCCTCCAGCAGCAGTTAGTCCCAAAATAGACCTCCTTAGTGGTGATGACTATGCCTCTCCAAAGGCCGAGAGTTCACTTGCTCTTGTCCCTGTTGGAGAACCACAGCTCAACAGTCCTGCTCCGTCTCAGCAGAATGCTCTCGTTCTTTTTGATATGTTTTCTGAAAGTAATAATGGTCAGGATTCTGTCACTACCACGCCTGCAAATTTGCGGGCACAAAACACTCTTTTGACCCAGCAGTTCATGCATCAGCCAAATCTTCAAGCTTCAGATGCTGGATTTCATCCAAATGGAAGGGTCCCAAACACGGGATCTTCTCCGTATGAGCAGCCATTGTACACGCAAGGAGCCAGCCCTGCATGGAATGGCCAGCTGGTTCAGCAGCAGCAGCCATCTTCCCCTGTCTATGGTGCGCTTCTAATCTATGCTTCCAATCTATAACATGCCTGTTTCTGATTGCTTGCTTGTTGGAACATTTTCTGTGTCTATTCAGAAATAGGTGGATGCAAATCACAGTGCTGAATCACTTTTAGAAAATATATTTTCGTTCATTTCTTTCTAGGGTGATTGACAAAAATCTTCTTAATATATATCACACTTTGCTCCTTAAAAAAAACACCTATTTATGCCAGAAACTTAGCAGGGAAAAAAAAGGACCCAATATAACACTAGTCAGCTCATTTTCCCCTGAACCTATATCTGCCGTTTATTTAGCATTAGTCACAGTTTTAGAATTAATCACAACTTTATTCTTTGAAAATTCAAGAGTTTTATTTAAAAGTAAAAGGTAAAACTATAGGGTTGCTAGAAACCGCGTTAAATTAAAGATTAAGACTATTTAAACAATTTATATAACATTATCTTATATTCAATTTGAACAATAATATTTTCTTATATGAAGAGAAGGATGGAAATGTTATTGGATTAAGTTCAGAGAATTTATTTACTTTTTTTTTTAATTAAAACTTTGGTTTTTGAGTAATTTGCGGTTTTGGCCAAAGATTGCGGAATATGTTGATAATCTCTCATTTCATTCTCATCTGGTTTGCAGTGATTTGATGATGAGTTGATAAATGAAAAAAGGAAAAAAGGAAAAAATGGAATCTGATTCTAATATAAATTTTGATTTATATATTATAATACAAGGATAATAATTTCATGAATTTATTTTTTTATGCGTAATCTTAAATTCGTTAAAAAATTCTAATCCTACTAAATACTTTATAGTATAAATTTAAATTGGTTATTGTCATGATTATGTTCCAAGAAAATATATTTTTATATTTGTGTTTGGTTTTATAATATATGTTCAAATATAATCTTATTTATTAGTTCATCTTAGTAATTCCTTTTGCTTATTTCTCAATCGTCAAGACAATTATCAAGGTAAAGTTAGAAGAAAGTAAAAACTTCCTTATATTTAACAGTAAATAGACTAAAAAAGCTATTTTTCCTTTTAAATTTTGTGCCCAGTCTCTTGGGTAAGCTGTAAACATGTCCAGTAATATAGTCTCTACTTTCTCTTTCATGAAAAGGCATGACAAGGTAAGCTGTTCTATACTGCTTCACCATAGTTGTACTGTAAGTAAACAAATATTCTTGCTCTGATACTCAAAATTGTTTCATAAAAATGATACATAATATAGTTTGACTCTTGTTACTCCTGTTATGATCTATGGATCTTACTGTGTGGGGTGTTGAAAAGGTCCTCAAAGCGGTCTGGCATTACCCCCACCTCCCTGGGAAGCTCAACCGGCAGACTCTAGCCCAGTAGCAGGCTCCAGCCCTGTAGCAGGTTCCCATTTTTCTCCTCCAATGCAAGTTACTCAGGTGGTTGTTACACATACGCAGCCAGTGCACAGTGGTGGACATCCTCTAGGAGGATTCCAGTCAATGACAAACGATCAGGTAGTTGGGATGTATATCCAGCCAATGACAACTGGCCAATTGTCAACAATCAGTCATCAGCCTATGCAGAGGAACCCAATGATGGGTATACATACCACACAAATGCAGGGAGGGCCATATATGGGAATGCATCCGCATCAAATGCAAAATGGTCAGATGGTTCAAATGTATCCCCAACAAATGTATGGAAACGAAATGGCAGCATATGGCTATGGTCAGCAACAAGGCACTCCGTATCTTGAGCAGCAAATGTATGGGTTATCTATGAGAGATGAGGGTGGGTTGAAAAGCTCTTCTTATAATCAGGTTTCAGCTCCATCTTATGTGCAGCCTATGAAGCCTGCAAAACCAGAAGATAAACTGTTTGGAGATCTTGTTGATATGGCAAAATTCAAGCCCACCAAACAAACTCCTGGAAGAGCTGGTAGCATGTGAAATTGAAACTGCTTGTGCATTTCTTTCTTAATATTTTTGTTGGCTATTGCTTTTGAATCTATTTTGGTTTCCCTTCTCTTCAATTCCCATATATAAATATATACATATAAATTTCTTTTTTGGTCCCCGTATATGTATTTTTGCTTCTGTTTGGAATTGGAATGTAAATTCCTTGTAGAGAAAGTGAAAAATCGACACTCTCTTGATTAGATTGAATTCTTATGATACTTGGATCTTTGTTTTGTTAGTTGGATGTCTTTTCTCTTTAGGACTTTTTTCTTGGTTCCTGCCATAAAATTTGTGTTTTCTTTCCCCTTTTTCTCATGGTATTGATCTTAATCAACGGTTTTCCGTGAAGGCTGTCACCAAATTCATCTATTATTGCATTTTTTCCTCTGTGAGCAGTTTGTGATTCCTGCTTCTCTCGAGTTATTTTGTTTAGTACAAGATAGTATATATTAGTTCTATATATTAATCATGTATTAGGTTAGAGTATAATCTGAAATACAAACCGAAACACAGATAATTGTTGGTTCAAAACAAAACCCATTAATTTTCTTTTGAATTACTTGATATTATATTTGATCCCAATTCTAGTTTATTAATGCTGTTTTCTCAGCCGTAGAGTACTGAGTGCAAATGCAATATTGAACGTCTAAAAATTCCTTGGATTTATAAGATAATCTTAGAGCGTAATTTTCATTCAATGATTAAATACTTGTCAAACTTATTTCTTTCAATGAATATTTATTGAGATTCACGTATGAAACAAGTTTACATAAATGAGTTACAAAAGTATATGTAATGGAATAAATAAATTTATGAATTAATTTGTAAAAAATAAAAATATTAAATTAATTTTTATAACTGAAATAGATATAACTTTTTTTTATTGTAGATTAGATTTATGTCCTTAATTTATTCTAAATTAAATAATACTAATTAAGAGAAAATTTTATTTATAATAATTGTAGGGTATAGAGGATAATTGATGAGTTCATATTTTCTTCGCAATTTTTTATAAATTTAAGTTCATATTTATTTAATTTTTTAAAAAGAATCAAAAGTATTTGTGAAATTTATTGTTAAATCCATATTTTATTTATTTAATTTTAATTAAGATTTAAATTTATCATTTTTAATTAAGTTATACATGGAAAAAAATAATTTATAAATATACAGATATATATTTGAATTTATTATGATGAATATATATTTTTAAAAGATATAAATAACATATACAAACAGATTTTAATAATAGTATTAATAGTGTTCGTTATTTTTTCTCCCCATTTACTACGGTCGTCCTCCGTCGTCTTTCACCACCCACAGCAGCAGTTTATCTCTGATTTTTTCTCCCCGGGAACTCCTGGAGGATTGTTCACGTCTCGAAATTCCCCAATTACTCATCTGTCAAAGCTGAAGTTCCTGATTCCTACCGAGTCTCTAACTTCACTCCTCGATTTTAAGGTGGTCTTTCCGATCCACTGATTGTTGGTTGAGGTTGAAAAGCTATGTAATGGTTTCAGCACTAGTTAAGCTTGTTGAATGATTTCACGAAATTTATATATATAATTTATTTCTTTAGATGGATATGCTGGTTTTATTTATATGGTATTGTTGATCGTTATTCGCTGTTGTTGTTGGGGGAGGTGGATACTTGGTGATGCAGCAGTATCGCGGAGTTGTTGGAAGCGAATGGCTCTATTCTAGGCATCGTTTGGGGTCAGGACCTGGGAATGACTGGTTGAAAGTGTCTGAGGCCGGTGGTGGTGCAAGTCACCTCCATTTGGTTGTCGTAGATCTTAGATGCCTGATGATTGGGTCCGGCTTTGTTATTTCCGTTTTTTTTTTCTACAATTGGGATCGACTTGGAAACTGGGGTTTTGGGATTTGGTGGAATACGAAATTTTTGGTTGGATGTAGGATTTTCAGCGGTGTCATGAGTTACATAGTTTTGGTTTGGAAAGTTTAGGCTTTCTGGGGGAGATTTTTGTTATTGGGTTCTGATACTAGTTGATGTGGTACAATAGGATTAATACACCTTTTAAGACTCGGGTGAACACTAGATAACACACATAAATGTTTTAGATTATCGCTGACAAGAAGGAATTTTAAACATCATAGTAAATAGTTGATTGTATAACATAACCTATATATTGAGAAAATTCTCAGATATCCTACTGCTGCCTGAGAAAGAAATTAGATATTTTGTTAAGTAGAATTTGTAGATAGATTGACTTGTAAGGCTGTTTCTCTTAAATCTTATGCGTAAAGTTAACTATTTATCTTTTACAATCATACAGTTGTTCGTTGCATTTCATATCTTCTCCTTGATATTGTGGGATTAAGTGACAATCAGATATGCAGGTTAGTTACTATTTTTATTTTTGTTTTTCTGTTTGAATTTTTCATGAATGTGTGCTTGGCTAAATGCTGTAAAATTTATTGGGTAGATTAGGAAATTATGAAGCTTAGACTGTGGTTTTTGTAAGACTACGAAAAAATTATTCTTCATTTTTTTGCATAAATTAAATATGATTTATTGGAAAGGGTGGCAAGTACTAGCACATTTCCATTATTTAGCATCTATTGTGCTTCACGCTGCAGCTTTGTCAATGAATGCTTTTGCTGTTGGAAATTTGTTGTTACTTGTTATCAAGTGGGTAAATAGCGTATATTCTACGATTGTGATAACCACTAGAATATACTTGAAGTTTTTAGAGAAAATAAATTTCTAATTTTTTATTCTTTGTTTTGTTTGCATTTAGAAGATATATATAGAGTCGTTATTATTATTATATTTGAACTCTAATTATATGATATAATTATATTATTAGAACTTTAAATAATATAGTATTCTATTTAATATAAAATCCTTATCAACACTCCCCCTTAAGTTGGCGCAGAAATATCACACATGCCCAACTTGCAAATCAAGTTCTAAAGAGATTTGTTGTATAGTTTTTTAGTAAAAATGTCAGCTACTTGGTCGCTAGAGGATACATGAAATAAGCATAAAGAACCATCAAGCACCTTCTCTTTTATAAAGTGTCAATTAATATCAATGTGTTTTGTCCTATCATGTTGAACTGGATTATGAAGAATGTTAATTGCTGTTTTATTGTCACAAAATATGAATAATTTCTCATTTTTAAGCAGTTTTAGCTCCCTCATTAGTTTTTGCAACTATAGTATTTCACATACTACTTGGGTCATTGCTCTATATTCTGCCTTAGCACTGGAGCGAACAACCACACTGTGTTTCTTACTTTTCCAGTGACTAAGTTGCCTTCTACAAGTGTGCAGTAACTTGTAGTTGATCTTCTATCATTTAGGGAACCAACTCAATCGGCATATGTAAATGATTCTATTTTAATGTGACCATACTTAGAAAAGAGTAGATTTTTTCGTGGTGCAGACTTTATGTATTGTAATATGTGGAAGACAGCATGTAGATGAGTTTCACGAGGATGATACATGTACTGGCTCACAAGACTAACTGCATATGTTATATCGAGTTTGGTATATGAGGGATGAATGAGTCTTCAACTAGTCTCTGGTATCTTCTCAAATCAACTGATGTACCACTATCTGCGTGCAATTTGTGGTTGCTCTCAATAGGTGATTCTGCCGGCTTGCAACCCATCATACCAGTCTCTTCTAGTAAGTTTAGGATATACTTTCTTTGAGAAATGAAGATCCCTTTATTGGATCTGACAATTTCAATCCCCAAGAAGTATTGTAGTGTTTCTAAATCTTTTATTTCAAACTCTTGAGTAAGAAGTTCCTTCAACCAAGTCATCTCCTTTGTATCATCTACAGTCACTACAATATCATCCACATAAACAATGAGAAGAGTGACTTTACCCTCATGATGTTTAATAGACAAGGTATGATCTGCATTACTTTGTTGATATCCAAAAGAGATCATAACTGTTCTAAACCGTTCAAACCATGCTGTTGGAGACTGCTTTAATCCATATAAAGCCTTTTTTAATTGACCAACTTTTCCTTGCATCCTCTTATTTTTAAATCCAGGTGGAATTTTCATGTACACCTCTTCCTCTAAGTCTACATGAAGGAATGTATTTTTTACATCAAATTGCTGTAAATCCCAATCAAGGTTAGTTGCGCAAGACAAAAGTATTCTAATTGTGTTCATCTTCGCAACATATGTAAATATCTCCTGATAGTCAATCCCATAAGTCTGAGTAAATCCTTTAACCACCAATCTAGCTTTGTACATTTCGATCGATCCGTCTGTTTTGTGTTTTATAGTGAACACCCATTTGCAACCAACTATCTTTTTTCGTTGTGGAGGTGAAATAAGTTTCCATGTTTCATTCTTTGTCAATGCTCTCATTCTTCAATCATGGCTTTCTTCCACTTGGGATCTTTTAGAGCTTCTCTCCAATCCTGTGGAATAGACACAAAGAAAACAGACAAAACAAAGGCTCTATAGGAGGGAGATAGAGAGTCATAGGAAACAAAGTTAGATATAGGGTTCTTAGTGCAAGTTTTCGTTCCATTTCTAATAACAATAAGTTTATCTGATAAATCACAAGAGAAAGATTACTTATCAGTATCTTTTGTAACTAAAGAAGATTCTTGACTTGGGACAAACTACATAATGATTTTTTCAGACTTCTCTCTCCTTGAATACCTTTTCAAGTGTGATTTATTTAGACGTCCAATATTATTTTCTTGATTAAGACTCTCTGTAATAGAATTCTCCCCCTGAATATTATTCTTAATCGTTACCCAATTAGGTATCACTTCTTCCTTCTCACTCTCCTCCTGAAGAGGTGTTGGGTTTGAGTTGAAGTAAGACTCATTCTCCCTAAAGGTAATATCCATAGTTACAAAGTATTTTTTAGATGGTGGATGATAACACTTATAACCTTTTTAGGTGGAAGAATATCTAACAAATACATACTTAAGAGATTTAGGTTCTAGTTTATCCACATTTCTAGCATGAATAAAACACATACATCCAAACACTTTTGGGAGAACAATGTAGGAATTTTTTTCCTTACAAAACTTACATAGAACTTTTAAAATTAAGGATTCGCAAAGACATTGTATTGATAAAATAGACAGCTGAGGGAACTACAACTCCCCAGTAACGGTAGATTCACGATGAATATTAGTGACCGAACTACCTACAGTATGTGTCTGTTTTTTCTTTCAGCAACCCCATTTTGTTCACTAGTGTAGGCACAACTTGTTTGATGAATTATTTCATTTGGCTACAAGTATGGAACCTACTATCCATATATTTTGTACTATTGTCAGTTCGCAGAATCTTAACTTTAGCACCAAACTGTGTACATATCATTTTGTGAAAAAATTGAAAACATGAAATTACATTACTTTTTGCTTTTAACAGATAAATTCATATTAATCTAGTACAACAATCAATGAAGGTAACGAACCATTTATGACCAGAAAGACAGGTGTTTTGAATAGATTCCCACACATCAGAGTAAATAGTCTTAAAAGGATTAATACTTCTATTATTACTTAAATGATAAGAGCTCATCTTATGTTTAGTAAGCTCGCATGCATCACAAAATAAGGATTTCATAAAGGTTCTTTTGAATAACTTAGGATATAGTTTATCTAAAATAAAAAAGGAATGATGTCCCAATCGTCAGTGCCATTGTAGTATCTCCATATTGACTTCTTTATTCTCAATGATTGCTTGATTTTCAATTAAGGTCAGATGTTTATTCAAGATAGATAAGCCATCTTGCAGTCTACCAGTGCCAATCCTCTTCCCGGTTTGAAGATTTTGAAAGATGCAATGATCAGGAAAAAATTCAATTTTGCAGTTGAAATCTCTAGTTATGCCACTAATAGATAAAAGATTATCAGAAAAACTAGGCACATGTAAAACTGAATACAGCGTAATAGTAGGAGTACAATTAATGGAACCTGTTCCCGATACGGGGGTGTATGCCTCATCTGCTATATGGACATTATCCCCTTCAGTACAAGAAGAATAGGTTAAGAATTCTTTAAAAGAGCCTGTCATGTGTCTGTTAACTCCAGAGTTTATTATCCAATTATCAGGAGTGGAAATATAATGAACAATACCTGATTTTACTATATTTGATGTGCCAACAGTTGATTGAGAGTTAAGTTAACTTAGAAAGCACTTTAGATTTTGAATTTCTTCTATGGAAAAGGCTCCAATGGATGGTGAACCAAGTGTTTCCCTAGTTTCAACAAAATTTGCTTGAGATCTTGTAGTTTCACCTCTTCTTCCTCCCTGACCTCTAATTGGTCTTCCATGTAACTTCCAACAAGTTTTTCCTAGTGTGTCTTGGCTTGCCACAATAGTCACATTTTCATATATATCTGGATTGATCAAACTGAACAACTAATTCAGCTTTCTCAACTGGTGCAATGTGAAGCATGACATTTCATCTACTCCATTCTTGCTGTACATAAGTATAAGTTTGTTCTAATGAAGGAAAAAGATCTTTACCAAGCACTTGGACACGTATTTGATCATATTCGGTGTTCAAACCAGTTAAAAAATTATAAATTTATTTTTTTCTATCAATTTTTGAAATTTGACTGCATTTGCAGGGCACTCTGGTTGAAAATCTTGATAGTAATCTAACTACTGGCATAATCCATTTAGTTTAGAAAAATATTGAGAAATAATCTCTTCTTACTTTGTTTCATGAACTTTATTTCAGAGTTTATAAATCTGGGCGTCATTACCCATCTGTGAATATCTAAAAGATGTTGCATTCCATATTTTTTCGACAGTATTAAGCAACAGATATGTTCTGACAATATAGGGTTGTATGGAATTTATGAGTTATGACATTATTAATGAACTCTCAGAGTCCCATCTATTATATTCTAAACTATTAACATTTGGTTTCTTTACCTCACCAGTAATGTAACCCTGCAATTCTCTAGATTTGATGAACAATAAATAAAATCTCGACCAAACGAGATAATTAGTTCAATCAAGTTTTATGGGACTGATTTGTAATGAAAGATTATCAAAGCGAGTAACACTTATATTTTTTGTTCTGTCATTTTAGAATGCTAAAAATAAGAAGAAAAAACACTCAGTAGTGAAAAATAGACCTCCTATCTGCACCAAGGAGCCAAAAAATGGAATCAGATCTGGTTCGGCTCTAAACGGCTTGGGTTTAGTTCTAAAATGGCTCAAAGTCAGCTTAGCTTGTCTTCTCCGGACAAATCTCTGAACATGCGTAGAAAAAGGTAATGGTGTGACCTTTTTTACCTGCATCTATTGATGTACGGCTGTAAATTTTTACCAGCGTCTCCAGATGTGCGGCTTAAATTTTTACCAGCGTCTCCGGATGTGCAGCTGCACCTTTTTACTGGCACTTGAGGATGTGCGATTACAACTTTTTACCAGCGCTTATGGTTGTGCATTTGTATATTATTACTGGCGCTTTCGAAGGTGCGGCTGCACTCTTTACCGATGCCTGCGAATGTACTGCTGTAGTTTTTACCCGCGCCTGCGAATGTACAACTACAGTTTTTACCGGTACCTGCGAATGTGCGGCTGTAGCTTTTTACCGGCGCTCTGATACCATAAAGTTTTTAGAGAAAATAAATTTCTAATTTTTTATTTTTTATTTTGTTTATATTTAAAAAATATATATAGAGTAGTTATTTTTATTTTATTTAAACTCTAATTATAAGATATAATTATATTATTAGAACTCTAAATAATATAATATTTTATTTAATATAAAATCCTTATCAACAATATTTTAGTAGGAAGCATTTTCATGGATTCTGCTCTTTTTGTAGGCATCCAGAGCAAGGTTATTTAAGGAATACAAAGAGGTGCAGCGAGAGAAAGTTGTCGATCCAGATATTCAGCTTGTTTGTGATGATTCTAACATATTTAAATGGACGGCACTTATCAAGGTATTTAATTAAAATTGAGAAAAACAGTGTATAAGTTATGCTTGACTGCTTTATTTCTTTTTTCAATTTTAAACATAGGGACCATCAGAGACTCCTTATGAAGGTGGAGTCTTCCAACTTGCTTTTGCAGTCCCTGAGCAGTATCCTTTGCAACCACCTCAAGTGCGGTTCTTGACAAAAATATTTCATCCAAATGTACACTTTAAGGTATACGTCTTCCTACTTAGGATGTTTACCTTCTATTGTTGGTTCCTGGACTTCGGATATGAAATGCTTCTAAATTGATCTTTATTCAGAGAAACTTAGACTCTGTTTGAAACATGAAAATATGTATTTATTTTTCTGAACGCTGCATGTGTTCATGAATGTGTTTATTCAATTAACTGCACATATAATTTTTTTGCATAATGCTGCATAAGTGCAATTAACTTCTGATCTCCACAGGGTTTCCAGTAATTACCTTGAAACTGTACAATTTTGCTTTTTATGGTTAATCAATTTATCCAATGGGAAGAGAAATTTAGAGCTTTTTGAACATTCTTGGTAATAGAAATTGTGTAGAGCTTGTAGAACATGTCAAATTTAATCTGCTCTAGATTTGTTGTTTCATCTATAGGTA